TCAGACGTGCTTGCAGGCGTGCAGAGAGAAAATGGAAAAAGGATAAACTCCATGTCTCCCTAGAAATCCTTCGTGCTTGCCTTTCTGACTACCAGACGGCAGTCAAAGCAGCCAAAACAGAGCACATTTCTCTGCTAATCTCCAAAAACAGCCATAAACCTCAAGTTCTTTTTAATGTCCTCAACTCGATCATTAATCCCTGTGATGTTTCTTCTATTGTGCCATCGACTACTCTCTGTGATAAGTTTCTTAAATTTTTTATTGAAAAAGTATCTGCTCTTAGGCTAGCCCACACTAGTGCTACCCCAGATCCTGCTCCTTTTCTGTGCCCTGCTGTCCTCGACCACTTTGAGCCTGTATCCCTCTCTTCTCTCTCGGATGTAGTCAAGCACCTGCGGCCGACAAACTGCACCTCAGACAGCATTCCCTCTCGCCTTCTCAGAGATGTTTTGGAATCAGTTGGTGCAAGTATTTTATTACTTATAAACACCTCTCTTAGCTCAGGATGTGTCCCAGCTGCCTTCAAACATGCCGTGGTTAAGCCACTACTTAAAAAGAAAATCTCGACCCCTCCATTCTCGCAAATTTTAGGCCCATCTCCCAGCTACCTTTTTTATCTAAAGCCCTGGAGCGAGTAGTCTACGCCCAGCTGCAGTCTTTTTTAACCATGCATGGAATCCATGAAAAGTTTCAGTCTGGCTTCAAACCCATGCACAGCACTGAAACAGCCCTTTTAAGAGTTTTTAATGATCTGCTCCTAGCCGCCGACTCAGGTAGCCCAGCTGTCTTGGTGCTGTTAGACCTGACAGCTGCCTTTGACACTGTGGACCATAGCATCCTGTTGTCACGGCTTGAACAGTCCGCTGGCATCACAGGCTCTGCCCTTGCATGGTTCAGGTCCTACCTGACAGACCGTAGCTTCTCAGTACAGCTCGGTGCCTTCTCCTCTGCCAAAGCCCCTCTTACCTGTGGGGTTCCCCAAGGCTCGATTCTGGGCCCCATCCTTTTTCTACTGTACATACTGCCCCTAGGTTCAATTCTCACAAAACATAATATTCCCTTCCACTGCTACGCCGACGATGTACAGATCTATCTGCCTCTCAAAGCAAATGTCAAACACTCACTACAGCAGTTGATGGACTGCTTAACAGAGATAAAATCCTGGCTGAGCAAAAACGTTCTCAACCTCAACGAGAGCAAGACTGAGGTCATCTTTTTTGGACCCCAACCTCCAGCCTCTCCGGTTGATATTCTGGGCTCTCTCAATAAAAACATCCTCCCCTCTGTCATGAACCTTGGAGTGACCTTCACTAGCACTTTTAAATTCGACCAGCAGGTCAGCACCGTAGTCAAATCCTGCTTTTTTTAAATAAGATTATTGGCCAAAACCAAGTCGTATTTATCTTTTAAAGACTTAGAAAGGGTTATTAACGCCTTTGTTACCTCAAGACTGGAGTATTGCAATGCTCTGTATGTGGGTATGGACCAGGCCTCAATTAAACGCCTGCAGCTAGTCCAAAACGCAGCTGCACGTTTGCTGACTGGCCACAAAAAGCGTGACCACATCACCCCAATTCTGGCCTCACTGCACTGGCTTCCAGTTCGGTTCAGAATTGATTTTAAAATCCTTTTATTTGTTTTTAAAGCACTAAATGGGCTGGCTCCGGCCTATATAGCTGAACTCCTCCAGCGCTACACCCCAGCCAGAGCTTTAAGGTCTGCTGACCAGCTGCTGCTGGTAGTGCCCAAGACCAGGCTTAAAACCCGAGTGCACCGAGCCTTCGCAGCAGCTGGCCCTAGGCTCTGGAACACTCTGCCCCTCCATGTGAGGTTGGCCCAGACCCTAGGGGTTTTTAAATCTACACTAAAAATACACTTCTTCTCTCTGGCCTTCTAGTCAGAGCGGAGCACGACTCCTGACTTTTCCTTGTGTTTTTTTTTATATATATATCTGTTGTAATTTATTGTCTTTTATTGTGATTGTAGTAATGTGTTTTTATTACATGTACAGCACTTTGGCTCGACCAAAAATCGCTTTTAAATGTACTTTATAAATAAAACTTGATTTGATTTGATTTGATTCACAGGTGTTTTGACAGAACAAGTCCAGCCCTCCAGAAGTGTCACTGGTGATAGGCCACAAGAAGGTGAGTTGTGAGTGTGCAGGTTTATGTTCACACATCATTTTGGTGCTTAATAGATTGATGAATTAATAAATTGTTACTATATGTATAATATCAACTTAAAAAAGAAACCTTTAATTTAAATATTTGTCCCTCTTAGATATCGCATCAGATGACGTCTCTCTTGTGGATAGCATGATGGAGGAAATGAAAAGTCGTTGCCAGGATCCACATTTCACTGCTGGGCTACTGGCAATGGCTAAGCAGTACAATGTCCTGAGAAGCAACCCCTCCAAACTGCTGTCAGCCTTCCATTCCTTTGGGAAATCTGGCAGCCTGACCAGCAAAAGGGCCGCCATTTTAAGGCGGGCTGCCGGACGTCAAGGCCCGATGATTGGCTGCCAGCCTACAGCTGTTGCACACAGGAAGTCAGGCGCTGGCTCAAGACGGCGTTTATTATCTGGGCGCCCTGTGAAACAGCACAGTTTAAGTTTGGCAGTGTATTTATTTTATCCCTCTGTTTAGAGGCAGGACACTAGTCAGTGCCCCTCTACACCCTCTGACTCCTCTTCACCCCCATCCCTCTGTTTAGAGGCAGGACACTAGTCAGTGCCCCTCTACACCCTCTGACTCCTCTTCACCCCCATCCCTCTGTTTAGAGGCAGGACACTAGTCAGTGCCCCTCTACACCCTCTGACTCCTCGTCACCCCCATCCCTCTGTTTAGAGGCAGGACACTAGTCAGTGCCCCTCTACACCCTCTGACTCCTCTTCACCCCCATCCCTCTGTTTAGAGGCAGGACACTAGTCAGTGCCCCTCTACACCCTCTGACTCCTCTTCACCCCCATCCCTCTGTTTAGAGGCAGGACACTGGTATTCGGTGCCCCTCTACACCCTCTGACTCCTCGTCACCCCCATCCCTCTGTTTAGAGGCAGGACACTTCAGTGCCCCTCTACACCCTGTTTGTATCTGTTTGTATATGTGTATGCCTTTCTTTCTCATTTGTTTTTCACCTTATGTCTTTGTCATGTCTTATCCCATGTATGACCTGTACCTTGTAAGTGGGCTTTTTACCAAATCAGGCCTCAAGGTGTATCTCAAATGCTGAAATATAACCTCCCTGTTAATACAAATCCATTACCCTACATCACAGTATGAAATGACTAAAGGTCCACTGCCCTCTGCAGTCATGAAATCTTTCCAGAGGCTGGTGTTGATCCAACCTAAAGGACATCACATGACCCCTGCTTGACCTCCTGCAGTTGATGCAAACAGGTAAGTGGATCATGCAGTCAACTTGGGATTGTATCCTGGGACTTCAGCTCAGCATTCAGCAGTCCCCTGCTCCTACCTCACCCCTCCCACTGTCCCAGCCTTCACCTGGTGAGACATATACACCAATTAAAAGGCATGATTATTACACAGTCAACCCTTATTCAGAGTGCCTAATAAATGTATACTTTTTTTACAGTGCAGACTTTGGCTTTTTTGGGACCATCCTAAGGCACATGTGTGTAAGTAACAAGTAATGCTGTTTAATCTGCAACAACTGTCAGGTGGTGTTATTGATTATCTTTGCAAAAGAGCCCCGACCAATATTGATTTTGACAAATATCTTTTAATTGAAATATGGGAGCAAAAACAAAAGGGTAAAATTGATCATACCATATTATATTATTATTATTGCACCTGTTTTAATTATATTGTGTTGTTTTGTTTGTGTGTGTTTATTTATATACATATATATATATATAAATATATATATATATTTATGTGTGTGTGTGTGTACAAATGATTATTGCAACTGTGTTTATTATATTGTGTTGTTTTGTTTGTGTGTGTGTGTTTATTTATACACACATATATATATATATATATTTATGTGTGTGTACAAATGAATTAATATAAAGTGTATGTGAGTATGTGTGTATAAATGAATGAATAAATCTGTGTGTATAAATGAATAAATACATGTGTGAGTACATATAAGTGTGTGTTTATGTATATATATATGTTTACAAAGGAATAAATGTGTGTATATATATATACGGTATAGGCTATATATACACACATACACACATATATAAAAACAGTATATGTGTGTATATCAATTAATTAAAGGTAGGGTAGGTAAGTTTGAGAAACCGGCTCGAGATCGCTAGAATTTGAAAATACACAACCGGAGAAAATCTGCCACTTCCTTACAGAGCCCCTCCTCCAACACACACGAACGCGCACATGACCAATGAGGGCAAGAAATAAGTTTGTGCACAGATGGAAGGCTGACAGGCAGGTAGGCCATCCAGTTATTTTAGCTGGGCCGGCTAAAATGATTGGTCGTACTTTTTACAGTACTATGGCTTCCACAGATGACATTTTTGTATGGATTTTTTGTCAAAGCACTTAAGATATTCATTGCTATCGGGATGTTAAGAGCATTCCATGGAATATAACAAAAAGTGTATCTCGAGCCGGTTTCTCAAACTTACCTACCCTACCTTTAATAAAAGTGTATATATATATAAAATAGTATCATTAAATAATGCTGTCAGATAAATGTAGTACACAGTAATAGTCAAGGTTATATTCAATATTCTGCTTACACTTACACCAGCTGATAAAATATTTAAAACGTATTTTGTTTGTCCTGAAAACGAAATTTGAGGATACACACAGGCTATTTATAGATGATAAAACACCAGTAATACAATCTCAGGACTCTTCGATATGGCTTTGATTATAGGATCGTTTACTTTCAGTCAACAAATCCTTTGGAAAGACAAAAATCAACTATTCAATATTCTGCTTTGTGACGCTATCGCGTAGAGCTACGTCGATGCTTGCGTAATGCGGAAGTGGGCGTGGTTAAATCTAAACTGGGTTGGAAAAACGATAGACTCCTCCGGAATACCAATAAACGTTGAATATAGCACGTCGTAGTCTGGAGTATTGATTGTTCATACAGTACCAGAACACAACAATAGTTGCCTCCTAACTAACAGCAGGCAGACTATTATAACTAGATACGTTCCTAACTTCTTAGTGAAAACTAGCTTCGTAAACAGCTATTGTCTTCCGGCCGACCCTCCTGACTACATCCTGAACCAATGAGAGGACAAATAGATGACGTTCATCCAATCATAAGCCGCTGCTCTCTCCCTGCAGCAGGATCCTCCCACCAATGTTGTATCTCCATTTTGGCGGCTGTGTGGAAAACATGGCGGAATATTTGAAAGGTAACTCATAAGACTACATATGATTTGATATTCCGTTATGCTTATTTACGTCGAGCGTTACACTTTTAAAATAGCTTAAATATACACTATGTTTTTTGTCATAGAGTTTACAAAACATGAATGAGAGCGCGTGGGTGGTACTTTATGGTGACTAGGAAGTCATTTGTCTGGAGTAACGTCACTGGCAGCCTCTTTTGTGCCAACATTCTGCTTGTGAATTTGAAATAATTTTGACTGTATCAGCAATAGGAATATACTTTATGTTGTAGAAAGCATTACTTATTATGTTAGTGTAGCGCTGTGTTTTTAGGGGCAGGCTGCAGGATAAGCGGAGAAACCGTTGTATTGTTAGGTACGTTTCACGCGCCATGCAGCGCCACGGTAATGTTTAAATGGAACTTTATGTGTTTTTGACAAATATTTTATGTTGCTCTGAAGGGTATGTATTCGACTATCAGAATCCCAAAGAATGTTGCTGTCTCGCTTTTGAATATCTCATCTCCTCTACTGCTGTGTTTGGCGGTCAAATTGATCGTTCGATTTCATTGAGATATGTTGATTAACGTTTGCATGAAGAACTGTTAGTAGTCTTGTAATATTGATTTGCAGATCCCTCGCATAGCAGATCCAGTTTAAATGGATTTACTTTAAGTGGGTTTGGTGTAGCTTCCATGCCTTAACACTGAGTTAAAGTGCGTGTGTGTGTCAGGTTGCAGTGTGTCCTGCAAAATGTCCTGGGAGGACCTGCAGGCTCTGTGCCGCGGAGAGAAGCTCTACTGCAAACAGCTGGGGGTGAACCGAGGCAGCACCAATGTCTATGATGTGGAATTCATCTGCGACTACAAGAAGCCTAAGGTAAACCACCAGTACTATAACCATTGGTGTGTACATGTACTCAAGTACTGTATTTAAGTAAAATGTTGAGGTACTTTACTTGAGTTCTTGCTACTTTGTACTTCTACCCCATTTAATTCAGAGGTAAACCGTGTATTTTTACCCCACTACATTTATTTAATACATTTAGTTACTTTACAGATTTGGATTAATGATGTGAAATATAATCAACACCAAAATCACAACATATCATATATATTATTCTGAAAACGACCAATCAGCAGAATGAGTATAGAAACATCTGATGCTAATACTTTTTTACTTTTACTTGAGTAACATTTTGAATGCAGGACTTTTACTCGTAACAGAGTATTCATACACTCTTGTACTTCTACTTCTACTTAAGAACAAGATCCGAGTACTTCTTTCACCTCTGATCATAACACACAGCTTTCTTATATTAACAGCTCTATCTCATCAACGTCAGGGGTTCTCCACACAAAGGGTCCTCGAGGAAAATGCAAAATAGTTTATTAAGATTTGTATTAAATTCACATCAGAACAAGGCCCTGTTTCAATAAGGGTCTGATCAAGTTGCACTTCCTCCCTGCTGATCTCCTTAACCTTAGATTTTTTGTCTTAAACATGTCAAACAAAAAACCCTTTTCCATCCTCTAAAATGCGTGTACAGTGATGCCATTTATGAAATAACATAAATGTTGCAGCTGGTTATTCCAGGTTACCTTGTTATTACCAGTTATCTACCAGTGTATAATGCAGGAACATAGAACGTAACCGAAACATTAAATATTGGCTGCAAATCGTTTGACTCATTGGAACTATATATTAAACACGAAGCCTGGCTATGGGCTTAGATATGTCTCATAATAATTTGTGTGTAAATATGTGATTTGTAAATGTAAAACACCATCCACAAATGCATTTAAAAGATTTGAAAACTCACAAATAAATTTGCAAATGTAAAGCGGATCTGCAAATACGCAAAATATTTTTACAAATTAAAAAAAAGATCTTTGAATATCTCTAACATTTACAACTTTCGATCAGGCATTTGTGAATCCATTTTGTATTTGTCGACCAAAAATGCGCTTGTGGATCTCACATTTCTGCTTGTGGATCTCAAATCTCTGCTTGTGGATCGTCTTTTTACACACGTTAGATGCATTCTTTATCACCATCATCATCATGTTATAGTGATACAGTTAGTTTGAGTTAGTTTATTGGTTCAACTTTTTTCATTGTTTTTTGTGTATTCAGTCAAGCGGGTCAAAGTTACAAAGCACTTCACATCTTATTAATCGGCCTAGTTTTACCTTACCAGTGAGTGCAGTGGTAAGGTAATCTGTTGAAAAGCACCGTATTTAGGTCAGCCTTCATAGTAAGGCTACATTATATGTTATAATATTCATCGTGTCCTTTCTACTGTATATGCATACATTCCTGTCTATTGCTTTCATTTGTATTTAATGTTATTATGTTTATACTTGTTTCCACACATTTCACAATTTGGGATGAATGAAGTATCTATCTATATATATATATTAGGGCTGTCAGTCGATTAAAATATTTAATCGCATGATTGTCCATAGTTAATCGCGATTAATCGCAAATTAATCGCACATTTTTTATCTGTTCTAAATGTACCTTAGAGGGATATCTTTCACGTTTTTAATACTCTTATCAACATATGAGTGGACAAATATGCTTTATATGTTTGTTTATTATCATTTGAACAATGACAAATATTCTCATGAATATTAAACACAACAACCTCTGAACATTACAAATATTCGCCTCAATTCAACCTGGAACCTCTCTCATACAATAAGTGTGTGTGTGTGTGTGTGTGTGTGTGTGTGTGTGTGTGTGTGTGTGTGTGTGTGTGTGTGTGTGTGTGTGTGTGTGGTGTGTGTGTGTGTGTGTGTGTGTGTGTGTGTGTGTGGTGTGTGTGTGTGTGTGTGTGTGTGTGTGTGTGATGTGTGTGTGTGTGTGGTGTGTGTGTGTGTGTGTGTGTGTGTGTGGTGTGTGTGTGTGTGTGTGTGTGTGTGTGTGTGTGTGTGTGTGTGTGTGTGTGTGTGTGTGTGTGTGTGTGTGTGTGTGTGTGTGATGTGTGTGTGTGTGTGTGTGTGTGTGTGTGTGTGTGTGTGTGTGTGTGTGTGTGTGTGTGTGTGTGTGTGTGTGTGTGTGTGTGTGTGTGTGTGTGTGTGTGTGTGTGTGTGTGTGTGTGTGTGTGTGTGTGTGTGTGTGTGTGTGTGTGTGTGTGTGCCCCCACACTGTGATGGATACACTGTGATGGATACACTGTGATGGATACACTGTGATGGATCGTGGGAGCTATGTGCCGCTCAAGGCATATATGCTCGAACGGGTGCTGCCTGGACGCTGCAATCATGTTGCGCGTACTATCTGTGCTGACTTTTCGTACAATGTCCCACTGTCTGGCTACCTGCATAAAGTCAAGTGCTCGGCGCAGTTGTCGGCGAAATGTCATTGAAACAGCTCCTTATATCCGTTAGCGCAGCTAGCTACCACCAGATGCTAACAACAACACCACGTAAGGTGTGCCTCGCTCGCGCGAGTTGCGCCACACATACACACTCCCTCCCGGTCCTCCCGATGGCCAGTCCGGGCCTGCCGGTGAGCGTGGAAGTGTGGTCTGCCACAAGCTGGCGACAGGAGCGGGGCTGTCAGCATCAGCTTGTCGATGGTATTTTACACTCGATGCGCTCTGAAACTACGGCGGCCGAGGACAAAAAATACACATGCGTTAATCGCGTTAAAATAATTAGTGGCGTTAATTTTTTTTTTTGCGTTAACGCGTTAACTTGACAGCCCTAATATATATATATATATATATATATAAGCTACCTACCTACCGATAGACAGACAGATAGATAGATAGATACATGGGCAGTGCCAGAGATTTTCTGTTGGGGGTGCTGTGGGGTAGCTTGCCGCTTCATAGAGGTTGCTCAAACATGTAGGGTTTCCCATTAATGTAGCTATGGGCTAGTGAAATGTTCTACTGCAACACTCCCCACACGCACATACAGTACACCCGCGACTGTTACAATGAAGGCTCGATAATCAGCTCACGGCATATAGGAAGGGTAAAGTGCTATTTTTTTATAAGTGGGGGGCGGACCAGCCTCCTAGGGGGTTCCGGGGGCATGTTCCCCCGGGAAGATTTGTTTTTAAATTATTGAAGTTAAATGCATCAATCTGGTGCACTTTGAGAGCAAAATGAAGAGATCTATGGATACATCTCTCAACACCCATATGAAACAGAACTGTAAACAGATTTACTTTTTCTTTATGGATATTTTACAAATCACTCTCCTTTTAAACTGTACTCTTGTTTTACTGTCATATAGTATTTCATACCTGTTTTTCATTTATTCTCTTATTGTTTTATAGCCTAACTATAATGATCATATGAAGGTGTGCCTCAGAAATACTTGTTTACATAAATGGTGATCAAACTGTTTTGAGACCCACTGAGATAACTAATGGCGCGTTTCCACTACAGCGCGGAGCACGGTTTAAGAGGGCTGTGACGTCAGCGGCCCGTTTTTGGTTGCGTTTCCACTTGGCCTAGTACCGGCCGGCGGGTCCTAATTCACAGTTTTTCTGGCCTCATAAAATCGTGGGTCTAGGGCCAGAGACAACCAGGCTGAGTCGGGCTGAGTATGCTAAACTAGAGAGAGAATCGCTGGCAAGGGGGCTACAACTACAACAAGATGGACATATTTGACCGTGATTTAATTGTAATACACGTTTCAAAATGATGCCGAAGTAACAACATACTGATACCGGTTAGTAAAAACCATGAATTAATGCTTTGTCAAGTCTGCAGACAGACGGCAGGCGAAAAAACCTTTTAAAATGCGTGTTTTCTGAATGGAGATTGGCTAAGCTAACGCAGTATATGCTCCGACCGTCCACACTCACAACAACGGCCTATACAGACATAAATAAACCAGCGACTGTACTCACCATGACACAGACAGTCTGTGGTTTGTACTTGTTTAACTTTTGTCTAGTTTCTGAACATATATGAGGAGCTGTGAGCTCTGAGTGCTAACAGCTAACGGCTGTGTTGTTTTTCTGGGGTTCTCATTGAAGATGACGTCACGGCTCCGCCTACACTGCGTTACTATAGATACTACCCCAGTTCCTAAACTGTAATGGAAGCGCAGCATTAAAGTGAGCCAGTCCTAACGAGGCCTAGCCATACCGAGCGAGGCCGTGTAGTGGAAACGCGCCATTAGACTAAAGTTAACTATCTAAACACTGAGAGAGTCCTTTACCTCACTGAGCTGACGTTATCTGACAGGAGAGGACTTTCCTTTCACTTAGTTGTAGAAACAGCTTCTAATATCTGTTAGCGCAGCAACAACAATCTTGCTCTCTCTCTCTTTCTTTTCTACAGATTACCTTACCACTGGTAAGGTAAAACTAGGCTGATTAATAAGATGTGAAGTGCTTTGTAACTTTGACCCGCTTGACTGAATACACAAAAAACAATGAAGAAAGTTGAACCAATAAACTAAACTGTATCACTATAACATGATGATGATGGTGATGAAGAATGCATCTAACGTTCCGCTGTTCATTAAAAAAAACAGCGCATTAAACAAACCATCATGCTCTTACTTTGAAAACCATGCGGAAATGTCGTCATCAGCAGGCCATCACGTGGTTTCCGAAAATAACCGAGTGACACGAGTAGATTTTAGCCGAGACCGGCAGAAAGTTTGTCTCAAAACTCCATGTGTGTAAAAAGACGATCCACGAGCAGAGATTTGAGATCCGCAAGCACATTTTTGGTCGACAAACACAAAATGGATTCACAAATGCCTGATCGAAAGTTGTAAATGTTAAAGAGATATTCAAAGATCTTTTTTTTTTAATTTGTAAAAATATTTAGCGTATTTGCAGATCCGTTTTATGCATTTGTGGATGGTGTTTTACATTTACAAATCACATATTTACACACAAATTATTTTTATGTTCACACAAATAATTATGAGACATATATAAGCACATACCTGGCATTCTGGTTTTGGGCTGCGTACATCAGACATCTTTGCAGAAATCTTTGCCCCTATTTAAAAGTGCTTTGTGTTTCAGCAGGAGGAGTTCTACCTGTTGAAGTGGAAGGGCTTCCCAGAGTCGGATAACAGCTGGGAACCCAAGAGGAACCTTAAATGCCACAAACTGATAAAGCAGTTCCACCTGGACCTGGATCAGCAGCTGAGGCGCCACAAGAGACGCAACACCCCAAAAAAACTGGATAAGGAAATATCCTCATTCCTGGTCCAAAAAGCCAAGCTCCGTCAGAGTCTGAAGCGCTGGGAGGCCCATCTGAACCAGACGCGCAACCACCCGGGCCGCATTTTTGTTGCAAACGAAGTGGACCTTGAGGGCCCTCCAAAGAGCTTCACCTACATCAACAACTACAAAGTAGGCCAAGGGATTGTGTTAGATGAGATGGCGGTGGGCTGTGAGTGTAAAAACTGTTTGGAGGAACCAATAAACGGCTGCTGCCCCGGGGCCTCGCTGCACCGCATGGCCTACAATGACAAGGGCCTGGTCCGGATCCGGCCGGGACAGCCCATATACGAGTGTAACTCCCAATGCAGCTGCTGCTCCGAGTGTCCCAACAGAGTAGTGCAGAAGGGCATCCAGGTTGACCTGTGCATCTTTAAGACGGAGAACGGCCGGGGGTGGGGGGTGCGCACGCTGCAGCACATCAGGAAGAACACCTTCATCATGGAGTATGTGGGGGAGGTAAGACCTGCTCACACACAGCTCTCCCTTCTTGATTCCACTTCCATAATGGGCGGGGTTACATGCTTATTTCACCAAATTGTTTTTTTTCGTTACGATTCATTATTCTTACAGAAGACAAAACATGCAAATATTCACTCAAGTGAAGTATAATCATTGAGAATATAGTGGAAACAATACTAAATACAATCAGCAACACGGTAAAGAAAACAAATATATGTTCAAACCGGACAATGATTTTATATTTATTTCACTTGTAAGCCCCCTCGGTTTGACACACATAAATGAGAAACAGATACATCCATAATTTAATTTAAAAATAATCTGCCGACGACAGGAGAAATCTTGGGGCAACAGAAAGTCTCTGGCCCAGCAGATAGACACCAGCATGAACACTCAGGTGCAGATGAGAGAAAACGCTGGTCAATTTGTTTGCATGCTGGTTCAAACTGGGTACTTTGAGGTATTTCTCTATAGTGTGTGTGTGTGTATTAACTGCTGTAGATCTGTTTGCGCAGTTGTAGTCTGTGCAATTTTAATATAATTCGTATTTTAGTAGTAGGCAAATAGAAGTACACCAAAAAAATATATATATACTATTTTTTTTTTTTTTTAAACTGGCAAAAAAACCTACAGTTGAGAGGTCTGGTAATGATCTAACTACTATGGTAATCAGGTAGTTCTTCCCTGTGTCTCATCCCCTTCTGTATTCACCACTTCATTCTTCCATGCCTAAATCACGGTTCCTTGCAGCCCGCTGGATTCACCTAGCATCTGCTGTCACACACTATCTGTGGTTAGGGTTAGGTAAACATGTGTGTTCTGGGTGTAGTGAAGGGGACAGTCTGTAGGTGTGCATCAGGACCCTTTTCAGATTTACTGTAATGTAAATAACTGCTGAGGTGGAAACAGTTTTTACAAAACCTGGCATTAGTAGTCTCTGTCACTGTAGTTTTACACATCTGTTGATTCAAGTCAACAAATCAATTAGTCAACTACAAATTTGATAGCTCAAGAAGCCCCGGTATAGGTATTATATTGAAAGGTGTTTCAAATATCTCTTATAAATAAAAACCGATCTGCACACTCATAGCTCCAGTTTGAAGGATTCAGATTCAGCTTAGTGACGGTCCTTAAGAGTTGGTCTTTGGTTGTCCATGAACACCCTGAGGGGAACAAGTTTTTATTATAGTAACACAGTCCCATCCTCTGCCACTCTGCATTAGGAGAAAACCATTTGAACTAATGTAGTGTATTAGCCGGCCAAATTACTAAAGACGGACTCTACATATTACGTTCAGGCAACATAAAAAAAGATACAATTATTTTCTGCATTTTAATTATTCATGATTGAAAGCCTGTGTTCTCCTGGAACCAAAACAATTAAAAGAAATCAGGCTGAAATGTTTTCTTTGTTAATTCTAGACAGGCACTCTTATGACACCTCTCTAAGAAAAGCTAAGACAGGATTTATTGCAGTGCTCTTGTTTATAGGTTTGTAATCCCTCTGTTTGTGCTGATGTAACTGTCCTTCTCTTCTATCAATGGGGCTCAGATCAGTGTTTTAGAATACATGTCATGTTTTATGGCTGAGCTTGCTCGTGCTGAAATTGATATATATCTGAAAAGGGTATTTGAGTTTCTTTTAATCAATTGTTATTTTTGTGTTGCATCCAAAAAACAATGTTTGTTGCAGTGATTTCCTGTGTTGTCCTGTTTCCTGCAGATCATCACGAATGAGGAAGCCGAGAGGAGGGGTCATGTGTACGACTGCCAGGGCTCCACGTACCTGTTTGACCTGGACTATGTGGAGGACGTGTACACCGTGGACGCAGCTCACCAAGGCAACATCTCCCACTTTGTCAACCACAGCGTGAGTGTGATAAAAGAGGATAACATTACTGTCTTTGTTTAGTGCTGTAAAAGGTACTGAAGGCACTTGTGTACATGGTACATTCAGTAACCGTAAAATCAATTACACTATACAGTCAAGTAAACGTTTGTTAACTTTGATAAGTCATACTGCAGAGTATTTTAAATGCATTACATTTTTATCCATAAGTCTCTGTAACCCTGTAAAATAAATCAGATAAATGTGCAGTGACTTGTTGATGATGTCACTTGCAGTCTTTGCATAGCTCCTCCCTTACTCAGCACATACAATATGCTGTGTATATATTAGGCTACTTTGAGTATCTAGATAAGCGCTATATACATTAAATGTATTTTTATTATTTGGAAATGTAAAGTTTCTTTCAATGTCTGCTATAGTTAAGCAGAGTCAGAAAATCTCCTGACACAAGTTGTGTTCTTTTTGCAGTGTAACCCCAACCTGCAGGTATTTAATGTGTTCATCAACAACATTGATGAGAGGCTCCCAAGAATCGCTTTATTCTCAACACGAGCTATCCGGAGCGGAGAGGAGCTCACCTTTGACTACAAGATGCAGAGTAAGGGCCGCTGATTTAGTTTTAATTAACACTGTCACCAGAATCATCTTTAGGGGCCAGCTCGCCACAAAACCAAAATAACAGTTCTTTCTCTGCCTGCAGGGCTAGTTATCAGAACAGTTTATTGTGAGCTACCGTCTCTGAAGGAAAGGGAAAAAAATGCATCAGAAAATCTCAACAGCAATGTGTCTTTGCAGAAGTCATCACCCGATTACTCAAGAAGATACACTGGCCTTGTTGTGAGCAGTTACATGTAGAAAGTGTTTTATTTTTAAAGAATCTCAGTTGTAATCAACCACCAAAAATGTGTTTTTCAAAAGGCCTTTGAGTGTAACTGACTCAAAATTGCCACACATATCCAACTAAACGGGATCTACAAAAAGCCTCAAGAATCGCTAAAGTCTGCCGAACTAGATGTTTTACTAAATTGTACAATGGGAAATGGACATTTTGACTTGTCAACACCAAATATGGTATATAGCAAGGAGGGGGATACACATTTTTGGTAGAAATAAGCAAGACCTTAAAACAAGATAGCTGCCATTAATCAAAACATCTGCCAAAGATGTGGCTTAGAATTACATGCTCACAACTCAACAACGATTCCATATCCAATCATCTAGTGGTTATGTTCATTCCGTGATGGGGAACAAGCCTATCAGCATATATGCTATTTATGTCCCTAAACAAAAAGCAAACATAATAAAATAAAAACTTAAAAATCCAACTGCGGCTAAAGCACCAGGCAGTGAACCTTACGCAGGAAAAGGCCATAGGCCAGGCTAGAGTTTTGTTCAGTTTTCCTTAGGTTTCAAATATCAAACTGGACAAAGAACAATGGTTTAAATGGTAACATACCAGTATGCAGGAGAAACATTTGGTGAAGGGCATAGTATAGAAAGTGGCTGGCTTCTCTTCTGAGCCCTCTCCATCCTGCCCTGTGTTTGTCTGCAGTTGACCCGGTGGACACGGAGAGCACCAAGATGGACTCCAGCTTCAACCTGGCGGGGCTCCCCGGCTCCCCGAAGAAGAGGATCCGAGTGGAGTGTCGCTGTGGGTCCGACTCCTGTCGAAAATACCTGTTCTGACAAAGGACTGGTAACACTGTCATCTATGGAGAGACGTTGAAAATTGTACAGATTTTTATATGAATTTTTATTTTCTTATTGTCTATGAAAGCCGAAATTTAGCCAGAAACTTTTTATATGTGAAATCCTCCAATATAAAAATGATCTAGAATTTAAAATAGAAACTGCATCATTGGATTATTTGAGTACTTAAAGAAACACATTTTCAGCCCCCCCACAGTTTGCAGATCCATTCCTGCTTCAGTCTGGACCTTCTGAGCTTACTGCAGTACTAGTGAGTATTATACGTCCAGATTTGGTGTATCGTGTCCCCCCCCCTCGGCTGATGTTCTGACTGCTCGAGTCTTCACCTCTTGAGATCCTTTTTGGAGTTCCCACATCTCAGCTATTAACTCTGTGTGCAATGCATCAACTGGTAGAAGTGATGGACAAACATTTTATCCAGATTGTTAGAAAATGTCCAACCTCTGCTTGGCTTTAAAACGTCCTCTGACCTCAGCAGCTAGCACTATTCACATGGCTGCACACCACCAGAGAGGAGTAAGAAAATGTTTCTCTGATTATAGTGAACTATGTTTTTTATATTAAAATGGGGAAGATCAAAATGACTCTTTCTATTGGATCTTTTACAGTGTATATATTTAAACATTTGAGTTATTCTTCGTTGCTGTCTGATAGGTGGAGAGCAAAACAATGTAAATAAATGGCTTTTACCGGTTGCTGTCATGTTTTCATTGTTGTAGTTTTATGTGCCGGATGTAGAGGGCTGAGGTTTTTTTTATGTCTATTCCTAGCAACATTATAACACTAGATGGTGCTTTAGATCACTTTCAACTGTCAGAACATGTTTGAGTCTCACTTCCGGCTGCACAAAGGTAAGAATTGATGTGGTGTTACTTTCAGCCAAACGTCAGACTGTATCAGTATGAACAGAGGTGGTAGAAGTACTCAGAGTGCAGGAGTACTCTGTTACAAGTAAAAGTCCTGCATTCAAAAATGTTACTCAAGTAAAAGTTGAAAAGTATTATCATCGAAATATAGTTAAAGATCCAAAAGTAAAAGTAGTCATTGTGCAGATTGTTCAATTTCAGAATAATATATACGATATGTTTTATAATTATTGATGCATTAAAGATCTCCTATCATGCTGCTATTTTTAGGCATATATTATGCGTCAGATATATAAAAAACATGTCTATGATGTGATTTGCTCAAAATATCAAACCGATCATGCATTGTAGACATCCCTCATATCCCTCTATTTCAGGCCTGTTAGAGAATGGCTGATTCTGGGTCTGTAGCTGCTGGCCCAGCCCCCTTTGGAGCAAGGCAAGCAGTGAGTTCTGTGACGAGCTGTCTGCTCTGCTCAGATGCAGCTAAATGCTTGATTGATTGATTGAAAAGTTTATTAACAGCTTGTATATTGGGTACAGTACAGTACAGCTCAAAACATACAATTGTTAAGGCGATGCAGACCAGAGAAAGACTTTCGTCTTGTTTACATCAGGGTCCCCCATTTCCAATTCATCATATCATTTAAGACATATTTGACATACAGATGGCTTATTTACAATTTACATACAGATGGCTTATTTACAATTTTCATTTTAGATTTCGTTCTAATACATCCTAACTGGACATTTAAGACATACCAAGTCTACAGATATACAGTTAGTAACAGAGTCTAAAATGCGAGTATATACATAGATGGGGGGGGAAGCTGTCCATTGTACGACAGGTTGAGATTTGTACCATTACCGGGGCCAGTTTTGCAATGCTCTCCCCCGAAGGTGCTCTTTAAGAGAGGTTTTGAAGGTAAGTATAGTTTTACTTTCCTTTACAGCTGTGGGAAGAGCGTTCCACCTTGATGTGGCATAATTGCGAAACGTGTATTCCCCCTTTTTTGTGCCAAATCTGGGTTTTACATGATTTGTGGAGCTCCCTCTGGTGTTATGGTCATGGTATTCCTTGACCTTTGGGAAGAATTTTGACATGTACATGGGTACCATAGAGGTGTAGTGGATCTTGTAGACCAGGCCCATTGCAAGTAGCTGTACTCTGTCGTCTACTCTAAGCCATCCTAGGTTGTCAAAGTGGGCAGAGGTGAGGTGGGTTCTAGATGAAAGGTCAAGCAGTAGTCTGACCAGTTTATTTTGTGATGTTTGAAGTTTTATTTTTAGCGCCTTGGAGGTGCTATGGTACCATGACGTGCAAGCATAGTCATAGTACCCTTGAATGAGTGCTCCTGGCAGAGTTTTCAGGGTGCTTTTGTTTACCAGAGAGGAGATCCGGTATAGGAATCTAGTTCTTTGATTGACTTTTTTTATTACATTGGATGCCATTTTTTCACAGGAGAGGTTTGCCTCAAGAATAGATCCTAGGTATGTAATTTCCTTCTTACTAGTGACAATAATGTCACCCACTGCAACTAAGAAGTCGTCGGATTTGCTGAGATTATGTTTCGAACCGAAGAGAATGGACTCTGTTTTACCCAGGTGTAATGATAATTTATTATCGGCGAGCCAGGTGCAGATTCTGCCGAGCTCGGAGCTGAGGGTTTTTTCAACCTGCAATCTGCTCCTGTCAGAGACCAGCAGGGCTGAGTCGTCCGCGAACAGGAACAAGTTGCAGTCACATGCTGATGACTTGTCATTTGCATAAATTAGGAACAGTAACGGACCTAATATGCTTCCTTGTGGAACACCACAGCTCACTGGGAGGGGGGGGGACAGAGTACCGTTTACCTCCACCATCTGTTCTCTCCCCTCCAGGTAGGATTGCATCCAGCTCACCGATAGTTTATCAAAACCAATTGCTTTTAGCTTGTCAATCAGAATGGGGTGATTGACAGTGTCGAAAGCCTTTTGTAGGTCCAGCATCACCATGCCGCAGTATTTACCCTCGTCCACCTCTTGTTTGATGTGGTCGTTCAAATAAAGAGGGCATGTGTCAGTGGAGTGGGATGTTCTAAAGCCAGATTGAAATTCATAGATTAGTTTCTTTTCCGCGAGGTACTTTTCGACCTGTTCATATACTATTTTTTCCATGACTTTCGAGATGGAGGTAAGTATAGAAACAGGGCGGTAGTTGCCTGGGTCCAATTTGCTGCCCTTTTTGTGCAGGGGGGTTACTCTTGCAATTTTGAAGTCTTTGGGTACTTTTCCCTGTTTTATGGAGAGGTTAATTATGTGAGCTATGACTGGTGAGATGGCGGTTGCTGTGTCTCTGAGGAATTTGGAGGGGATATTGTCGTGGCCAGTGGCCTTGTTAGGTTTGAGGGCGCTCAGTTTAATGAGTACCTCTGCTGTTGTTACCCTTGCTAGACTGAAATCATCTTTGCGTACCCCTAGGTTTTTGTAGTAGGTCATGATGTGATCTACTCCAAAAAGCCCTGAGTGGGAGGGTCATTTATTTACAAGAGTTGTGGCTATGTTTGTGAAAAAAAATTTCAAGTACTTGGCCACATCCAGTTTGTCTGTGATGAGCCTGTTATCTGTCTTTATGTTTAAGTTTGAAAATCTCGTTTTGAGTTTTTTACTGCAGCCAAGCTGGTTATTGAGTAATTTCCAAAGTTCACGGGGTTTATTTTTGTTTTCCTCAGTTTTGTCATTGATGAAATTCTTTTTGGCAGTTTTGATCATGGAGCTTACGTCATTTCTTGCTGCCGTGATTAAGCGCCAAACCACTAAATTGATTATGAAGCCTCGCAGCGGTGAAACTGGCGTGCTTACACTAATTGCGCCGCATAAGCGCATAAAGGTGCGCCGCATTTGCGCTTCAGATGAGGTGAGGCCCCCTCCGCGAGGTGAGGCCCCACGCAGTCTGCGTGCCTGCACCACTCTATTATCCGGCACACTGAACATCATCACTCTGGGTTCGGGGGTCTTGAGCTACTAACTTCGTGTTAGCATGTTGCCTTTGCAGTTGCTTGGAGAGGTTTTATGTTGTGTTTGCAGCAGAGCACCTTACCGTCACATTCCTGTCCTTTCTTCGGACTAATTTAAAATAATGGGCATACCCCCTCGCAGGGGCGTAGCACAAACTCCGGGCTCTATACATAAGCTATCTCTGTGGGCCCCCTTCCCCTCTAGATCCATGTCTCTAATGCACCTTTTGAAATGTATTTACAAATGACTGAGCCATGAACTGTACACATTAATCTGAAGCTGTTATTAGGGAAGTCACTAATGAACTAAAGTAGAACTAAACTATAAAAACCTAGAGGACATTATAAAACATCTGAAATCCTCCTCAAGTTGCCTTGATATTATTCCAACAGGATTTTTCCAAAAAAAATTCATTGCATGGCCTCAGATCTACTTCACATAGTAAACAAGTCTCTTCACTCAGGTGTTTTTCCACAGGCACTGAAAACTGCAGTCATTAAACCACTCTTAAATAAGAATAATCTAGATGCTTCAGTAATGAACAATTACAGGCCCATATCAAACCGGCCATTTCTAGGTAAAATCATTGAAAAAGTTGTTTTTCAACAGTTGAGTAATTTCTTGCAATTAAATAACTGTTTCGATGTGTTCCAATCAGGCTTTCGTCCAAACCACAGCACTGAGGTGGTGTTTGCAAGTGGACATGGAGAATTACATGAACTACATGTTGCTAAATCTACCGCGGGGCATAAACAGAAGGGCAACCATGCTCGGGGGTCTTCTTCGCTGCTTTTGGTGTATTTTGTGGCATAAGTACAGCGCCACTTACAGGCCCGGAATATGTACTACAGCGTTTCCAGCAGAGTTCCCGGACTAATTACCGGACTATGACCGGTAAAATATGCTGAAGACCGGCAAATCTAAATCTCTCCGGTCAAAATGTCCGGTCAAAATAATTTCCCTTTAGCACAATACCGCATCAGTTGCGCCACTTATGTGACAGACAAGAATAGTATGTGACAGACAAGAATAGTCAATTCTAATGTCTAACACTTAATGTGAAGAAAGAGATGTCCTGTATGGGTTGATTGTGCGTTGATCTGTTGGTAATGCCTCGGGGTTCCGGTGGGCATGTAAACAAATGCATAATGCTGCGCTATACTTTGCGGCCTCACCCGGTTGCATAGCGACGCTTATTGTTTAGGTGTCTTTTAATAAGCAGGTAGTCATATCATTAGCTAGAACTAGCTAGATCTGATCGATATGGACATAAACGCGAGTGAAGTCTAATTTGACGGGAGCAAGAGATCAGCTGCTGCTGACTAGTCGACACGCAGCTCTGCATGATCATCTGCAGCGGTGAGCGGAACAAAACACACACTTCAGGTTAGAATATCACGTAGCTATTTTAATTACCTCTCAAACTACCTAAACTAGTTATAGATATGTTTAGTTTTACTGTCGGGTGCGAGCTGCATGATACTGACGGGCTGTCAGGAGAGGGAGAGAGAGCGCTCCGTTTATTATTCCCGTGTTATAAATTACTGTACACTTTTGAATAATGTAGTTAATCTACTAGAATTAGTTTGTTTAATATCGAATCATATCAATTTGTTTAAAAGCTCAATACAAAGAAGACCTTTGACCGGCACTTTTCTCATTTTGTCCGGAAGATTTAAACTTTAACGGACATGTTGACCGGCAAAAAAATATTCTAACGGGAACTCTGGTTTCCAGTGGTCTCGTGTGAACGGACACGTTAAATGAGGCGAATGCGTGTGAACGGAAGACTATTTTGATAACGAATTCGGTCCGTTTGCGTTTGCGAACCGGTGTAAATGGG